GGGGGTGGGGGGAAGGGGGGAAAAAAGGACACATATGTAATACCTTAATCAATAAAAAAATAAAAATAAAGAAAGAAAGAAGAAGGATGATCCCATCACCGCATATAAGAAATATAACAGCCCTAGTTGGTTTGGCTCAGTGGATAGAGCATTGGCCCATGGAATGAAGGGCCCTGGGTTCAATTCTCGGTGAAGGGCACATACCTTGGTTGCAGGCTCAATCCCCGGTCCTGGTTGGGGCACTTGCGGGAGGCAGCCAATAGATGTATCTCTCTCACATTGATGTTTCTCTCTGTCTCTCCCTTCCACTCTCTCTAAAAATCAATGGGAAAATATCCTCGGGTGAGGATCAACAACAACAACAAAAAAAGGAAAGAAATATAACAACCGGTGTCTGGACGGGAAACCAATAAGTGCAACCTTCACACGAATGGGAACCTTATCACCTCAGTGCAGCCCATCCTGCTCCGGTTACGTGACAGCCACTCAGTGATAAAGGAGAGTGAGCTGCCTCACAGGGTGAACTCTGCTGCCTCGCCCAACCCTCCTGCTGAAGTGGACCCTGGCATCATGCTGAAGGTGTTCTGCAAGTCCTCCGAGGCTTCTGTGACCACACAGCCCACACAATTCAAAATCAAAATTTGAGAGGGGGAGTGAGGCAGCCAGAAGCAGGGGCAGAGGATGTGGCTCTGTTTCCTAAAGGAAAGCTTGTGACCAATGGGCCGTGGGGCTGGATGGACCTGCCTCTCTGTGTTGTGTTCTACCCTGAGCTCTACACATCTCCCATAGTGTGTTTCCTCTCCCTCCACCTCCTCACCAAGATAGGTTTGTTTTTCTCAGTGTCTCTCTCCCTAATCTCAGCCTCAAACTGATTTCTTTTTTTTTTTTTTTTTTGGAAATGGTACCCTAAATTCTCTGCATGGCTTTCTTGTGGCTCCATGGAATACAGGGCAGGGATGTTTGAAAGACACTGCTTTCTCTAGGAGTGAGCGGTTGCCTTCCCTTTAAAAAAGTTTTTAGGCAGGGAATGGGAGTCATGTCAGCTTCGGAGCTGTGCCACTCACCTGCCTGGTCAATGGAGATGGCCTGGGTGGGAATCAGGTCGCAGGCCTCTGGTCTTCTCACAACAATTGGCCCCAAACTAATATGGTCTGGAGACGGCCCTGTAGCAAGTGCAGGGTGAAGCTGCTGTTCTGCTAGGAAGGGTGCACCCCAGCTCTTGGTTTGGAGGGCTCGTGCTGTCTCAGGCAAACCAGAGTAAATCCTGAGAAGTTACATTTCCCCTTTCCCATGTGTTATGCCAAGTCCTCCATCCCAGCTCTATTGGTTTCTGGTTATCACTGCTGGGAAAGCTTGTGTTGTTGGCCCTTCCAGTTCTCACCAGCCCAGCACTTGCCACGCCCTGGTTTTGGTGTCAATGCCAGCTCTCCACTAGGTCTGTGACACTGCACGTTTGGAGGATTATTGAAAGGGGAGATGTTGGCTTGCTCTTGGCTCTTCCTTTCTGGACTCAGATGTCTACAGGACAATAGTCAGGGATGCTAAAAGGCATATATCGAGTTGCCACCAAGGGGCACTGTCTCCACTATTGTAAGTGACCCATCTGTTCATGACCAGAGGGGTGTTTTCCTGCCTTGGCAGTGGAGACAGGGAAATGGTGGGTGATGGGGAGGGAGTTGAGAGACCAAAGCAGCCCTTCCAAGTAAGCGGTGGGTTATTCCCTTAGCATGGTTCCAGGGATTTGGGGCAAAACTGTAGAACCCAGGAGCAGCCCCTGAATATCAAGACAGCGTTGCTCCAGAATCATTCTCAGTCTCCCACCGGTTTGTTGGAACTGTAAAG